AAATTATTTTTATAGATGCAATGCTGATGCGAGGCCTCTAATTCCTTTCCAATAGCTTAGATAATTTGTTTCAGCTGAAGACTATTTTGAGCAAGCTTAAAGCTCGATTGGAAAATCCAGTAATAAAAAAATGTGAATTCCTAAAAAACATTTAAAGAATTTCGCTTCAATTGATGGGAACTCAAAGTAGTTGCTGCAAAATAAACTATGAAAATATTCTCGGGACTTTTATGCAGAAGAAGATAAATTAAAAAAAAAAAAAATGTTATCTTTGCTTAAATGTAGCTAATACTACGAAAATAAAAACAAAGTTGGAATTTCGGTATTCTAGAAGAAAGAAAAAAAACCTAAGCCCAGAAGGTGAACGAAAAGAAATAAAAGAGATTAACTTAACCCCTCAAGACCTGCTCGATCGTGTCTTGACCTAAACAACTTCCACGTATTAATGATGCCATAAGTCTTACAGATCCCCTTCTTTCCCTAATGTTAGCTTATCTAACTGTTTAGCTACTCATAAAAAAGGAAAGCGGTCAAGATGGGAGATAAAACTTTGGACTGAAACCGAATTAGTTTCCAAATCGAGCTCAGAGATGCCCAAAGAGGTTGGACTAACCTATTCCTAGTGCCCATTTAGGCTATTCCCATGAGTCTAACTCTGATCCTGCCGTCCTCACGCATCATTCGAGTCTAATTCTTTTTCTTCTGCAGCCTAACATTTCCTTCGCCCCAGCTGGTAACCCATTTAGCGCAGAATCTTTCTTAACAACTTGACCCATTTGGGTAGTTTTCGCTGTTTGCTACTTGTAGTTGGGTCTACGAATGCCCCGGCTGAAACAACAGCAACATGGAATAGCTTTCAAGAGAAATGCACTTCATAGAGGCAAGCTCGCGCTATGCCATAGCCATAGCCATAGCCATAATAAATAATAATAATCATAATCATAATCATAATCATAATCGTAATAGTAGTGAAAGTGCGAGCCAAGTCAACTGAATGGAATCGGGCAAAGAAATCGCGAGGAAATGCAGCAGGAGCCAAGACGGAGTCAAGGAATAGCTTCTACCGTTCCATAGATTCCAAACAAATGCTGCGAGCTGGCAACGCGGCGCCGAGGCGGGCTGGGGTGAGGGGTCTTCATATTATAATGGAAAACAACAACAAAAAGATTAACAAAAACGAAATAGGAACAAAAACCAGAGCAAGAAGTACGACTAGAAGAAATGCTTCCACATTTGCAGTTGCCGTTGCCGTTGCCATTGCCGTTGCCGTTGCAGTTGCCGTTCGCATTCCTCGTTCGCTTTGTCTTTGCTCTCGTGGCAGGTGCGCTGCGAAGTATGCAACATTTATTTGAAAGCCCTGCGCCGCGCATTGTTGCCAACGCAACTCCAGCGCCACGGTCCACGCCCACCACGCCCACCACACCCGCCACGCCCAACGCGCTCAGCTCGTTCACTATGGGAACCGCCCTTAAAGGCGGCGGCGCACTTTAAAATTCTACACAAAATTACAAACATTTTCATAATTACGATTCGCTTCGGGGCTAGGGCAGGCCTTTTAGGACTTGAGCTGGGATTGGTATTGGGGTTGGGGCTGGGGCTGGGTGCTGGGTGCTGGGGCTGTTTGCTTGCCACAGTTGAGAATTCAATAGAAGAGCTGCGCAAGCTGCGCTTCAATGAATGGGAACATTTTGATTGGCTTTGAAGTTTAGTTTTTAGTCCAAGAGCTGCCGAGTGTGCGATTTGTGTGTGGGGGCTGCGGGCTGCGGGCTGCGGGTTGCGGGCGCTTGAGGCCGTTTGCAGAGATTGTGAGGGCGGCTGGGGGCCGGCATCGGCTTGTATTCAAAACGATTCGATGCGATTTGATTCGATTTGATGCGATTGGCTTGCGGATTTGGCAACGTTCAGCGCTGGCGACGCTGCAAACTTTTTAATTGGCGTAACGCCCAACCCAACCCCAGCCCGGCTTAGCCCAGCGCAGCCAGAGGCGTCGCTGGGGGCGACGACGATGGGGCCAGTGGGTGCACGGGTGCGCTTGAGTTGGTTTGTAGAGGCACAAGCATTTGGCTAAGCTATCTGCCATCATCATGTGATTCAATTTAACACGAAAATTAAAAAAAAAAGCCCGAAAAAACATGAAAATAATTATGAGTTAATGAAAATAAACAGAAAACGAAAATAAACAAGTATTCAATGATTCAATGATAGGGGAAGTTAATTAATTACAAAAAATATATATGTA